TGTCAAATATAATCTTGCAAAAATCACCTTGATGTTTATATTCAAGGTCAAGTTTTGTTTTATTGTATTTTTTTTACTGTAAAATTCTTAGACTCTCTAAATTTCTAAATTTGATCATTTGAAACTTTGGTTCATGTTTAACAACTTTGCTTGCATGATGCATGTTACTGTTCATGAGCATATCAGCGAGAATTTAATCCACCCAGTATTAATACAGAGTATTCTTACAACAAGTAAGTTTCTTCCATGAAATATAAACAATTACTATGATTTATTTAAGGTATAAGCTGTTCGTATATTTCCAAAGGTCGGAAGGTATATTTTAACATTGCTATGCCTTATCATTTTCTATACTGTGAGTTAAACCCTTAAATTTGAAATCTTTACTCTGAGAAGTGCAAGAAACTCCCTTGTAATTACAGTGAACATTATGAACGATCATTTTAAACGAAATTTCCGAGTCTCCCGTTCTATCGACTTTTCAGTACCAATTACCATAATGGTAGTCATAACCACAGAGTTCTTACGAGCAAACTTATTAAACCGATCGAATAACTCGAGCGAGCATCTCGTGAAAACGGAATAAACCTCTGAAATCTGTTATTTAGCGGGAAAACGATGTGAACGTAATAGGCCATAGAGAAATCGCGATAAAACTCTTTCCATTGAATCGTTTGTACTTCTTATGGCTGACAAATCTTGCGGCATTTGTCGCCGATAAGAACGATCGGTGTGTTCGAAAAGAACCGAAGACGATCCTGCAACGTGGAAAATGGTCAATGAAACGGAACGAAGGGAAAAATCGGCGGGGAAAATACTGGAATTAAGCTTTTCCGAAAGTTGCTCGCATAGGAGCCAAGATAGAATAGGAATTGAGGATCGTTTGTTAAACTAGAACGAAAGGGATGAGCAAGGTGGATCGTGATAACGCGAGGGTTGTGCTGCTTCTAGTGAAAGAAACTACGCGGAACGAGAACGGGGAGGTTGCTGGAATGCACTGTCATAAAATTGAAACGCATAGCCGAGCTTTGCTGATTCTTTGACTTTTCGAACAGCTTTGTGTTCTTTCTGTAAAGAAATTCAAGATTGCAAGATTCTTGACGTGATTGGAAGATCTTAATACCCTTCGAGTATCAGTTTCGAGGAATGTCTCGATTTATTTACAATTTTTGGCTTCGATCGAAGATTTATTTTTAAACTCCACTTTACAAGTCTAAGCATCATATTTATTAATTTCCAAATATAAAATTTCTTTCAATTAGCTTCATTAAATTTTTCAATTTTAATAACTGAACAAAATGATCAATCTTTAAATGATCAGTTAGCAAGTTAATAAATTATATTTCTAGTTTTGTGTATACTATATACACTTTATCTAAGTAATTACCATTCACAAACGAAAGAATGAAATGATCCACTTTTCCCTAGAATGAAAGAAACGAGAAGCTAAGTTCAACGTCGGGAAGCATTGACCCAGAAAGCATAAGGACCCAGATTCACAATGTGGTCACGATTGTTTTTCTGGCAACCTATCCTTTACCCACCATAATTCGATGGCGTTGATTGCAGTTTATGGAAGCAGAACGAAGGTAGCCGAAGTGCACCAGGTCCTTCTAGCTCGATAAGGTCGGCGAGAATAATGGCGAAAATGGTGTGATCAGGTAAATAAGACAGGGTCCCATGGCTGTCGTGCTACCTTTGCCCTCCACTATTCTCGTTCACCTTTGCTCCAAATTCCAGCATCTCTACCGACCTCTTTTATTATTCTTTCTCGCCGTTTCTCTTTCGCAACCTTTCTCGAATTCCTCTTCTCTCCTTTGGCTACCATTCTCCTCTTTTGCTCTTCGTGGTTCTTCGTGTGCTTTCAACCTCGCTCCAGTCCCTCTCTTTTCCTCTTCTCCTCTTGATTTTCCTCCTCTGTTTCTCTGTTGGTCTTTCACCCTCAACCTAGTGGCGTGACACATGGCCAGCATTTATAGCGCGAGATAGCGCCGCCGGTTCTCGACAGCGCCGGCAGATTTATCCTTCACGGTTATTGGAGTTATACAAAGGATTTTTCCAACTGATCCCATAAAGTATCTGTGCCTGATGCCCTATTATTTACGCAGCGAGCCTGATGCCACCAACCACCCGGTGAACTGAATTATTCTTACGCGCACACGTGTGTGCTCCTTTAAACAATCAAATATCAACTCTGTACTTTAAATTAACCCTTATCATTTTAAGTATATTATGCTGTGAGTGTGCCAGCTAGAGAGGATCTGAAAATATTCTTTTCATTGTATGACAAATCTTAGAGCAAAGTTATTACAAAATTATTAGTTTTCAAATTCACAAATTTAAAAATTTAATAATACACAAATTTGGACAATTTCAAATTTAGATATTCAGATCTTTAGAAAGCTGGAAATTTAGTACTTCTGAATTCTCAATTTTGAAAATTTAAAAGTATAAAAATTTCTAATGAAAATATGTGTATTGTACGTATCATATGTGTAGGACGATAAGTTAACCAGAGAAGTCAACCACTCGACAACATATTTCAAAGTCAAATACGTTGAAATGAATGGAAATGTCCATCTCTATATAATTACTAAACATCGGGATTTAATCACTCATTTTGTAATAATTATTTTATAAGTAATAATTGCACTTCGCACACAGGGAATAAAATTCAACGGCGCGTTATAACATTTGTCACTGAAACAAATTATCTCGTTATTTATCTAGGGTAATCCTCGTTACGTTATCCTGTTAAATGCAGTTACCCGTAAATCTATCGTTTCATTTACCACATTCAGAGCTGTTTGCCTATTTTTGGGCTCGCGTGTTCTATTTTGGAAGCAATGTCGCATGTCACGCCGTTTCAGGGACTGGACTCTTTGTTTCTGCATTCGTTTGTTCTGTCGCTTGTATCTAACAAACGGCATAGCTTGCTATTAATGGATGGCCACCGTTACAGTTCGTTTTATCGGCAATTTGGGTCCGTAGATAGCGATAGTCGAAAACAAGTTACTACGTTTGCGTGAATTGTGTGTTGTTTTTAGTTTATTTGACTTCAGCGGTACTTTCAAGGGCTGAGATATATCGGTTAAGGTGGTTGAATCGGTAACACATTCTGTTAACTTTTCTATGAAATTTTATTAGGTGTAACTAATAATGGTAAAATTTCTGAAAGGTTAACCGTATAAGAACGGAGGATGCATTAAAAATTTTTATGTTTAATATAATGTAACATATAGGAAAATCATTTGCTGGAGGCACATTTTTAATTATAATATGAGAGCAATATTTCGGGTCTGTTTATACTGAAGTTATATTTTTCTGCTGTTCATAAAATAGGAAATTTTAAGTACAAAAATAGATTGATGTAAAAAATATTTATTTTCTGTTCAATTTACTTACATATATTGTTGGCTCCTTTACTTCCTTTATATAAATATTACATCAAAATTGATGTTAATGTTCTAATAATGTTCTAATAACATTAGTAATGTTCTAATTTCTGAAATCGATTATCGGATATAACTATTTTAATGTTTACCACATCATTTATACATTTTTGTATAATACACATAGCTCTGCTTGAAAAGGATATCTAATAAAAATTCATGAAGGTCTATAAGAAATAGTTGGAATCGTTAAAATATTTAAATGAAAGCAGTATTTTAGAAAATAAACTGCAACAAAATAATACAACACAATACTTTACACAGTACAACATATAAAAGATATTCCCTACTTGCTCTACCTATGTGCTCTACCTTTGAAACTTAGCTTACGTAGCTTAGAATTACCTATCTGTTATGTCTTCTTTTTACAAAATATTTCATTTAGGAATTCTAATATCAGCTTACGTATATTCTATAATATTCTTTGCGATATAAATCTTGAATGTCCATAAAAACTTAAACGTTCTTTTTCATCTACCTCCTCAATTTTCTGACGTTGCAGGAGGAGATGGAGTACGCTTAACTATAGGAGCCTAGAAGATTATAAGACTTAATCTGATTTAAATCTAATTGCTATTCGAGAATAGAAGATTGTTAAAATGAACGTTTATTATGGAAAATGATTTTCAAATGATTTGATCGTTTTCATCGTATAAATTCCAACCCAGTTAAAATATTGAAATATTATAATTGCAATTTCTGAACGCAAGTTTAGAGTTTTTGACGTTTAGAGTTTTCTGTTCCTTTTTATATGAAGAAATTATTTATTTATAGTCAAGAGTTGTAGTTTATGAACGTTACCAAATTACCGAGCTTTATATTAAAGTTAATATTTAATAAAATAGATGAAAATTAGAAAAAAGTATCTGGATCCCACCTTTTAAACAAAAATGATATTTTACATGTTTTTATAATCAAATTTTTTTCTCCACAAATAAAGTGATTTTGTTCTAAGTTGCTTAGTCTTCTATATAATTAACTAAAAGTTATGATAAATGCGTATTTTGTATTAAGGTTTCTGTATTATTGATTTGTGGTTTTTTGTCACAAAACAATTTTTCTACAATTTTTTATTGTAATTTGTGTCTGACTTAAAACTGGTCAACTTCAAATGTTTTATTACATAAAATGTATCATTAATAGCAATGAACTCGTTAATAAATTTTGATGACAAATTTGTGACAATTTCTTAGTGCAAGGTCACCACTAGGTCATTGTTGTTACGTCATCGAATTTATTTTGAAATCCCCTACAAGGTTACTTAATCATTATTACATAATCATTTTTAAACTACATATTTAAAAAATGAAGATAATCCTGTTATTTATTAAAGAAAATAATATTTGTAAATTTTCTTCACCGATAATATTTTTTCTGCTTAACCACCGAAAGTTCCTTAAAAATGGTTCATTTTTATAGCAGCTTGTGTCTTTAAAATTCGAGTACGCATTGTTACGAAACTGAAGCTTTTATCGTCGTTAATCGGTTTCTAATGGAAAAGGTAAAGGTGATGCACGCTCTAAGAAGAACCTGTTTCCTCGTTTCCAGGACTCGGAAGGTGACACACCTCTTCACGACGCGATCTCTAAGAAACGGGATGACATGTTGGCTCTGTTGTTGGACCATGCCGCAGACATCACCCTCACGAACAACAATGGCTTCAACGCTCTGCACCATGCCGCTCTTCGTGGAAATCCAAGGTGAGTAGTAGAGCTCGTATTTTCGATGTGACGCTTTTGTCCGTGATATCGCGCATCCTTCTGAATGCATCTGTCGTTGGTAGAATTTAACCGTCCGATGTGAATTTCGTCGACAATTAAACGATGAGCGGCTGCGTCTTAAACCACCTAACAATCAACGAGATTCGTCACTCATCGAATTAACACGTTGCTTTTGAGTTTGAATTTGCCTAATTTGCGTTCAATACTTTTGTTATTTCTTTTAAACTAACGAGAGTACTTCGAGAGTCAGAAAATATAGATTTTATTCAAACTTTGCACGATTATTGAGGACATCAAAAGTAATGATTTTGCAAAATATATAAGTTTTTAGAATAAATAAGATGCATTCATATTGACGGTTCTTGCAATTCTAGTTATTTCATTTAGAATGATATAAAAATAGGGGTGTATTGTAGCCTGTTGCAAGAACGCTAGGTTTATTGAATCCAAGAGTCGCAAGTTCAAGACCCGAAAAAGGAGAAAATTTTTTTTCCCCTTTTATTTTTTCATTTTTTTTTTTTACTAAATTAAGACGAAAAAAAGCATAAAAGTAAGTAATCACAAGAATGAACAAAATAAATAAGGTAAGTGAAAGTATGACTACTTTTTTAATTTTTAAACGTCGTATTCGATCGTTCAGCGAGCTTCTACGAATGATTCTGCTCCCTTATCCGACAAATCATGAAAGAACGTCGAACCACAGGTGTTCTCGAAGCAGTCATCCGTTCGTTGAAGTCTAATCGAGTCGGTCATTCTCGAGAGGTACTGAGTTAATTTTACCTCGATTCTCACCATCCACCCTTGTTCAATTTTGTCCCCTACAATCTCGAGAATCTTCGAGATTCGCTGAATTTTGGTTATTACTTCGAGACACAGATGGAGTTTCCAGAGTGATAGGTACTATTACAACTGAAACGAGATTTTCTTTGAATTCGACAGTCATTAGATCTTTAATTCGTATCAATTTCATGTTTCTTTCAAAGTAATTTCTTTACCGATGAAACATTTAGAAATTTTGTATGTTCTTTAATATTGCATTTAAATGTTTTTTATTAAATATATTTGTAAACTTCATTTAAATGTTTTTCACACTTGTTTAGCATGTCTATTATAATTGCAATGTAATATCTGTTAAAAATGTCCCAAGAGAATTGCATTTTCAACAATACCAGCGACCAAGCGCGTCTTTATTTTTTCTTTTTTCTTTTTTTAATAAACTGTGGTCAGATCATCCTATTGTTAAAGAGCGTAAAAACGAAACTTTTTCTCTCGTTCATTCCACGAATGATCCTCTTCTGTCGTCACGTTTCACACCCGTTTCCGGGCCCGGAAAATGCAGGCACCGGATGCACATAGTAGTTCTGCAATCACAATTACGAGGTACCTACTTTCGACCTCTCGGTGTCAGCGATTCGCGCTTTAGCACGTTGTGTTACGATGTAGTGCGTCGAAATAACGGGCGAATTTTCTGTCGTTGAATGGAAAAAGCGGCGGTTCGATGGCGTGAAAATCCTGGTATCTATGAAAGAGAGAGGAAGCGGCTATCATGAATCGCAAATGTAGCTTTTGTTTCATTCGACGCCGACGGGTATTTTGTTATTAACAAGAATTTCGTTAAAAATTTCACGCTTCTGATATTCTTTTTATCTCGAGCTTTCTACTTTAATTTCAGCTTCGAGTTTCGTTGTTTAAATTAAAACTGGGATTTATACGAATTATTTATGTATACATACATTATGTATACTTATGTATGCATATATTATGCATACTTGCACGTACATACATTTTACATGTGGATACACATGTTACATACTGCTTATATTATACTTATTTACATGGGACTACATCTTACATACTTATACGTACACACATGTCTCATTCTGTTCATACATACATTATACTTTCTTTCGTGTGTATTTTACATATTTGTACGTACACATATGTCACATTCTACTTATACGTACATTATACTTACTTACATGTGTATACATCTTACATACTCGTACGTACACATATGTCACACTCTGCTTATATGTACGTACATTATATTTACTTACATGTGCATTCATTTTACATACTTGACGTACACACATGTCATATACATTATACATGCATAATTCACGCACACATTGTTATTAAAGTTCAGTACTGATTTTGACCTGAGAATCACAAATTTTATAATTGTTATAAATTTTGTTTCTAATTCTATAATACTTTGCATACAATTATGATATTAATATACAACAAAGTAGTCTTGTATCCAACATTTATGTCAGTCAATAAACCACCAGTTTTTTTGAAGATTAAAAACAACAGATATTCAATGACAAAGTACTTGTTTCATATTTCCCAACGATTTTAACGAGAGTGTACCTAATATTTATGTTTTCGGTATAAACATATTTAAATGGAACGTAACATACGGAAAGAAGTTTAAACGAGTTCATTTGATTAATGAACGTTGAAAAAAATTTATCGCTATACAAATAAGCAATATTTGTATACGTATAAAATAAGCGTATCGTATATCATTGAAAGCAGAAATTTTTCGAGGCATTTCATTCAGGGTAACAATTTTCAGAGCTGCGTCACTGTAAACTCTATTGTATACGAAGCAGTATTTTCTTTCATTCTGACTGCTAGCTCGTGAAAAGCGAAAACGATGAACAGCAAGCGTGGACAGGTGGAGTTTGTTGGTTCATGGTCGACCAACGGCTCGTGAATTCTGCTGTATTACGTCAATTGAACGCGTCATGTCGATTCAATTTAACCCCTTATGTCATAATCGTTTCTATTCTTCGTGTTCTTCCCCCCTTTCCAGTCATCACGTGTGCACGTGCACGTATGGGAATCGTTTCTCGCACAGAAGGACGGGAAAAACATCGAGGTGATTTGTTCGTTTTATTTTGCTTCTTTAGTGGAACTTCAGAGGTTAAAATTTTGAGGTATTAAATGTGGAATATTGAGGATTGGAAAATTTGAGATTTTGATGGTTTGAAATTTTGGGTGTTTGGAAAATTTGAGAATTTGAAAATTTAAAGGAATTTGAGGATTCGAGAATTCGTAGTTTTGAGAAATTGACAATTTAGAAAATTTGGGGATTTGAGAATTTAGCAAGTTAGTAATTTGAGTATTTGTAGATTTCAGAGTTTTGAAAATTTTTGGATTCGAGAATTTGTAGATTTGGGAATTTAACAATTTAGAAAATTTGCGAATTTGATAATTTAAAGATATGAGAATTTGGAAAATTCGAGGGTTTGAAAATTTAGCAATTTAGTAAAATTCAAGATTGGAAGACTTGAAAATTTGGAAAATTTGACGATTTTGGAATTTATAGATTTGAAAATTGGAGAATATAAAAATTTGAGCATTTAAAAATTTCCTAATTTCTAGATATGGCACTTATGGAGTACAGAATATAGTTTTCGAAATTCAGGTACTTGAAAATCAGGGACCTTGAAAATTTAAAGATTTAGAGACTCCGCAGCGTATCCATTCATAAACGTAGAAATTGAAAGTTTACCTATATAGAAACGTGAAAGTTTGAGGAAGTATAATAATATGAAAATTTACTACTACATCTTTTATATGGACATTCTCCTAAATTGGATCGTTTGAGACACTTTTTCCCTACTCAAGGTCCTTCAACATCATCCAAAGAACAGATATCTCTTATTTATTATTCTAAAACATTCACAAGACATCGCATCAATTTTTCTGAAGTGTACCTTACCGATCACTTACGTCTACCTCGGAAAGAAACCAGCACGCATCCCAAATCCAATGGGTCGTTGGGGTGTCAGGTTTCAGGGTGGCGGTTTTCAGCGAAGAAAGCAGCGAGCAGAGGGTGCGGCAAGAACGTTTACGCATCCGTGTCTATGGCCCCCGGATATTACCTACCTTCGTTGCTTTTAAACCGAAGGGTGCTGATTACCGCGAGAAGATGTATGTGCCGCATCACCGACCGGAGGATGTATTTCAAAGGGAACCTATTACCCTCCTTTTCTGTCGCACCCTCTTTCCTCTTCGATCCAGTCGACAACAGGCTTCGCCACAGCAGCCAGGTATATCTGGCTGAAAATCGAGCCCCCGACATTATACGCAGAAACGCGTCACCTGACGGCAGACGAGGCTGGAATTAGATTCAGGATGATTTAGGATACCTGCTGCTAGATGACGATAATGCGAGCCCAGTCGTCAGGATGAATTTATTTGATCCGGACTGACGAACGATCGAGATTTCGATGGAAATCCTACGGTAGACGATGCGTTATGCTAAATGGATTGAATGTGTCTTGAGACTGATCCACTCCGGGGGTGGTTTGGGGTAAGTAAGTGCTCAAAGCTAATGAAGTTTTCTTTGACTATGGCTGCGCGAGTCGAGAAGCGGGTAAACATTACGTTCGCGTCTGCAACCGGCTGATTATCGTTTTAGCCGATTCTGCGACTTTAATGGAAACCACTGTTGGTTTAGGTATCAAGCTTTCTGTGCGTCTGGATGGTTAAAAATACGGGCCGAAAGTAACGTGCCGAGTAGGAGTTGAACTGATATTTTTGGATAAAGATCGGTTGTATTGAAATTTCCTCGAAAACAGGTGATTGAGTTATATTTGCTCGACTTTCGCTAGGTTGAGCGAATATTAAGATTTAAATAATTAAATTCACAATCTTTTTAATTAAAAATTCAGTGAATTTTACTGCGTGGAAATAGGCAAGTTATTAAAAATGTAGTAATGAAGTTATTAACTCGAACGACATTTACGTTAATTGCGAAGTGTTAGTTGAATTTTGAAAAATAATATTTTAGCACACTTAGTAAAGGGATTTGAAATCTTGGGATTTTAGAACTTTCGGAATTTTGAACTATTTGTATCATGTAAGATGACATTGTGAATGACTAATAAATATATATGTATAAGAACTGTGTTTCATATTTTGAAAGATGTAAATTTTTCAAGTTATCACATATTCATATTACG